AAGTGATCCTAGATTTATACCTTGTATGTTGGAGCATGATTTAGTCCATCATCATATTTCATGACATTTAAATATTTAAAATGCAACAACTTACCTACTGCAAATACACTGGAAGACGTCAAACTAGAATATGCAGTTTCTTTATAAACTGTGTCATAAAAAAAAAAAGAACTCTGGGCCAGACTGGGTCTCTGCTATGATATACCCAGGCAGGACCAGGACAGTCTGTAAAACCTCCTTGTGGAGCTTCCACTACGTTCTTCTGTCAGGGGCGAGGACAATGATCTAAACTGATTCCAGGGGATCTGTGTTGGCTGTGGCCATTTGCTTCTGCAGAAGATAAGCAATACCTAAGCTCCTCTAAAATCTGGGTCTCTCACAACACTGCATCAAGGATTTCCTCATTACTAGAAAACGCCACTTTCAAGATAAGTCCCTTGCTCTATAGTGGACCTCTCTGCAGGTCCTCCCTTTTTATTTTCTTGTGCTTCAAGAAATGCAATCAAATATATCACTTAAATTAAGTGCAAATGTGATATCTGTGCTGTCATGAATGTTATCAACAAACCACCGAGAATGGGGTGTTATTTTATTTAGCCTGTCATTGATGGCTAGCTGAGTTATAGTGCAAGAAAGTACAGAATTCTAGGCATTACATTCTATGATTGGGTGATTTTGCTTTTAGACTTTTTTCCCCCATTAACTAAAGTATTTAATTGAGATATAGTCTGAATCCAATTTGCTTGTTTTAGTTTAGGTCAGAAGTAAGCGATAACGTACTTTGTAGTTTCTACTTTAATAGTAGTCAATTAGTAGAGAAATATTTATTGAGGTATAACGATAAATAGAATTAAATGGACACTGTTGCCTCCTGGTCTGAGAAATTAGTCAATATGCAGGGACTTGCCAGGTTAAAAGTAAAAACTCTCTTTATTGCAATCTTATGTATTCACAACGAATGTACTCAGAATCCTAGTCTTATGAAACCACAGGAAATTTCATAACTCTTGATTTCCAAGCTTGCACCTGCCTTTCCAGTCAGTCATGTGTCCCTCCACTATGCCCCACATCCCAATCCCCTGCTTTGAGTCCCTCCATACCTTCAATCCCGTTTTGATTCCTGTATCCCCCACAGCCCAACTATCTGCCCTGAGCCCCCCACACTCCAAACCCCAGTTTATGTACCCCCCGCACTCTAATTCTGTGCCCTGAACCCCTCCTCAAAACCCCAAACTGCACCCTCCAACACACATAGCCCTGATTCCTGCACTCCCCACATCCCTGCCCTGAGCCCCACCCCCCACCACACACACACCAGCACCCTGCCATGAGCCTCCTACACTTCACCCCATGCTAATTTCTTACAGATACTGTCGTATTGGACACACATCCCAAGCCTCTATTATCGGTTTTCTGGGGTCACCACTGTGTGTGTCAAATCAGGGAAAATTTCTTAGAAACAGGGCTACTTATTGCCCAATATTATGGCACACCAAACCAGTCACAAAAAGCCCTTTTCCTTTACCACACTGGCCAGCAAGAAGTCACACAACCAATCCCCGGCCTAGACATTGCAGCTTCTCCAGGGTTATCAGCCCTTCTAGGCTCATATCTAGCGCCACTCCCTACACAGATGAGAGGTCATTAAAACCAATCTCACCAAATTTCAACAGGTTCTTCCAATCACAAAGGAGCAGCCACATTCCCAGGTCAATTTATACCTTGGATATTATCCAGAAGTTTATCTTTTGTCAGTCCTTCAGAATCTAAAGGTATATTAATACAAGAAAGAAAGAAAAGGTTCAGAGTAAAATTATTAAGGAAACAAATTACATACACCTATTATAAAGTTCCTGGTGCAGGCTTATAGCAGAGATGGAATAAACTGCTATCTTATAAGTCTCTGGAATACATCCTTTTTTAGGATGGGTCATCAGTCCTTCTAGGCTCAGTTTATAGCAAAGATGCTCCAGAAGTGATGAGCTGAAATGAAGACAATAGAACCACTAGGTCCCTTTTTATAACCTTACCCATGTGGAGGAAATTCCATTGTTCTTGTTTTGTCAAAGTATGTCCCAAAATGGAGTTTGTCATATGAACAAGTCACCTGTCCATGCATAACTCCGTCCACTTTAGGCAAGCAGACATGCTGGTCTGAACATTCAGAGCAAAGTTCCTCAGGTGTGGATTGGCACCACTTACTGTCCATTGTCAGTCAATTACTCACTTGACTAACAACCCTTTTAGAACAGGTGAGCGAAGCCTGTTGATATCTCCCAGAAGCAAACATTTGTAATACAAAACATAGCCAATTCTTATAACTTTAGATACAAAACTGATACATGCATATGGATAGTGTAAACAGAATCAGCATAAAATAAGCTTTCTATAGACATCTCACTTAGCCCTTTTTGCACAAGATTTGGTACAAACATATAATAGTGGTTGCAACAATGTTTGCATGTTCATCTAAAAAAAAATCCAACATCACACTTGAGCTTCCCATTAAAGGGTGTGAGTGGCAATACAACTCTACCTGTAAGAAATTTAAGTTACTTTCATCCCTGGGAAAGGGTGAGGTGGGATGAGGATCTGGGGAAGAGCAGGGGTGGGAAGAGGCAGGGCAGGAGTGTGGACAGGGCTTAGTGTATAGCAGGGAGGCTGAGCACCCTCAGAGCCCAAAGGAAGCAGGCACCTGTGGCTCAGAGTTAGGTCAGTTTAACCACATCACTCTGGATTTTTCACACCCAAGTGACATAATTATACCAATCTAATTTCCTAATGCAGACCTGGCCTATGTCACTCTGCCCTTTGTATTCTGGCAAAACTCCCACTGAATTAAATAAGACCAGGCTGGACTCTATTTGTCTGCAAAAAACAAACAAAAAAATCAGTGTAAAAATCTCTGTTAATATACTGTCTGGGTTTTTTTCTGTTAGAAATAATTGAAAATTATGTATTAGAAATAAACTTTAGTTTCTAATTTTTTATTATACTCATATTTCCATAAACAAATTGTTACTGTTTTTCACTACAACAATCCTATGAGGTCATTGGTTACAGAAAGAGGTATAAATTGAAGAGGGATTTTTTGTTTTCAATTACTGGAGTCAGGCTCCAAGGACATAATACACAATAGGCAGCATACTATGGTGCTCCCTCAAGAAAACACTTTAATTATGGGTTCCTGGCAAGGATCCAAAGAAAAGCCAGCTATCGTTGCTGGTTGGAGGTTTTCATCAACTGAAATTCAGAAAAGGTAATATGCAGCGGACAAAGCTAAGTAATTACCATTATTAGGAGGAAATACAACAATGCCAGAATTGTTCCATGCTCTTCAAAGGAGACAAGCTATTTTGTTAAGACACCAGTCTTGATCCCCATTACACTCACACCAATAGGACCATACATGCAAATGTTTAGTAACATTCCTTCCTTAACAAATATTTTAGCAAAACAAACATAATATGTTTGACGTGCCATTAACCATAAGTTTCAAGGAAAAAAATACCTAACCTCTAGTTCATGTTTAATTCCTCTCTTCCTTGTTACCCATTTTTCTCTAAGTACTTAATCTGCATGGTATCCACAAAATGAGGGGGTGGTCTGAATCTGCTTGTTCAGACTCAATTCTTTAAGCTGATGTTGCTCTAGATATATTGGGTGACTACCGTAAATGGAGTCTCAATTTAACTATCATTGTGACACACTTATCAGAAAAATGAATGATAAGGAAAAATCCTGTGGATTGTCATTTTAAACTAGTTAAATATTTCTTCTGATTTGCCCTAATAGCCAAGCTCTTGATTGCAATGACACCAAGTGCTAGGAATAAAGGTAATCAAGTGTAGCCTCTTCTGCCTTTGAATAAAACCCATCATGCAAAAGCTAAAATTAGGTCCAAAATTCTTGAGTGTTTGGTCAGTGAAAATTTTTGAATTTTATTGCCAATATTTCCAAAAATGTACTCAGAATGTACATTTTCTACAGGGTACAATAAAGAAGAGATTTTTTCCTTCAAATTAAAAGCAGTATTGTCAACTCTCATGATTTTCTTATGAATCCCATGATAATTATTCTTTTCCTTAAAGCCCCAACTCCTGGAGTCAAGTGGATATGTGATTATTTCAGTTTTCATTCTACAAGGAGGAAATGGAAACAATTTGAGGCAAACTTCCCAGGATGTTTCAGTTGCCTTTCAAAGTCAAGTTTTTTACAATAGTCTGCTGCACACCTCAGCCATCATTGATTGCCACAGCACATTCTGCAGTGTTGTTTTACAACATAAGGAAACATGTTTCCTTTCCTCCAGAGAAAAATTCAGGAAAATTCATTTCCAGGAATACAACACTGACTAATTAGTGCAAGGATTTAGTGACTCAGTCTTGACTGAGGCCTGAGCACCTTCCCCTTCCACTGAAAGGAAAAGCCAGTACATTTTTATCCTGTCTAAGGAATGGGTTGTTTTCTTGACTGTTTTTAAAATTTTTCTTTACATTTAATTTCTTACATTGAAACTGTCGGATTGTATCTTGACTGAAAACTGATTCTCTCTATGACCATGTAAGATTTTCTTTGCAATATTACAATACCCATGTTGGTTCCCAGGATATTAAAGAGAAAGAGGGTGAGGTAATACAGGTGTCTGGAGCAAATTTACCTTTATAAGACTCAAAGAAGAGCTCTCTGTCATACTGAAAGCTAGTCTCTTTTATAAATAGTAGTTGGTCCAACATACCATATTACCTTGCCCACTTTGTCTCTTACTGAATATTTTGACATTTATCTGACCTAACACTGTATTGCAATCACTCTGTAATGAGCTTCTGATATTTTGCATTCGTTACAAATAGATTCTGGGATATTTTCTTATCAGCCAGACAGCCCCAAGAACCACATATCACCTCACAGGATTTGCTCCCTACTTTCCTTGGGGCTCCATGCAAATGTTAAACCCCGTAGTTTAATATAACTAACAAGTGTTCTTCCTGGATTACACAGGCATCTACTGCACTAACAATTGCAATACGGAGTGGCAGATTTAATCATCAAATCTACAAGTCTTCCCTGTTCTCTGATGTCACAGATTGTTAGTTTTGGGGACCCTGTTGTGCAGCTAGGAGAATTCTCTCAGGTGAGATAAAATTTTATGTATGCATTTCAGTGAGATGGCTATCAGAGGGGTGAATTTTTTTCTGGGTATACACACACAAGTATTCCTGCAACTTCTATTTCTTATAGTTCTGCTCTTCTCACGCACTTGTCCAAGCACCATGCAGGCTGCCAGTCCTTAGCAACCAGCATGGTGCCACATTACCACCAGATACTTTACACATATGTTGAGGTTTAGTGTCTGATTTCACACCTTTCACTTTAATTTCTTTCGGAAGCTTTCAGCAGCTGGAAATTAGACTAAGGAAGGTAATAAAAGAAAAATGTCATGTAATAATCTGCTCCGATGTTCAATCCCCTACAAGATTTAAGGCTTGTCTACACTAAATGGTGGGTCGACGCTACAGCGATTGATCCATTAGCAGTCAACTTATTGTGTTCGCTTAGGCACAATAAATTGACCTCTGTGCGCTCATCTGTCAACTCCTGTACTCCACCAGTATAAGAAGAATAGCTGAAGTCAAAGGGAGAACAGCCCCTGCCATCCTTATGTGGAAGACACAGTGGTGTGTACATTGACTTCAGTTACGTAATCTGCATAGCTTAAGTTATGTGGATAGATCAACAGGGAGGGAAGTAGTGTAAATTAGACCTATGTTTAAATTTTGCATTAAGCATACTGTTATCAGTCCACAATATTTGCAGCAGGACTAAGTATTATGTAGATCATCTCAAAGAAATGTATGTCTAACCTGCTCTTAAAAATCTCTAATGATGGAGAGTCCACAGCCTCCATGAACAATTTATTCCATTTATCACTTGAAAACTCATGGTTTGCTAATCATTATTATGATGAAAAATAATGTGTGGAAACATTATATGTAAAGTCATAAGATTCCATTGTCTTTACATACATAAAATTCAGCATGTTCTGCTGGGCAATCATAAACAAGTTCCCCAGAGACAAAAAGCTAGCCAATGCCTCAGTCACTCTTCCCCAGGAAAGAGAGGGAGAGCTATATTTTGCAAAGAACCCACTTAAGGTTCCTGGAAATGCCCACTTTGTCCCCTATACTTCATCTGGAGATGATTCTTATGCAAGAGGAAAAGTTATAGGAGAAGAGGGCAGATGTCCCAAATAATCTCTTCCTTGCTCTCTATCAACAGCATCATGAACAACTGGGCTACGTCAAGACTGGCATGATTTTCCAGAAATGCTTTTAACGGAAAAGTTTTCCATTAAAAGCATTTTCGGAAAAGAGCATCTAGATTGGCACGGATGCTTTTCCGCAAAAGCACTTTTTGCGGAAAAGCGTCCATGCCAATCTAGACGCGCTTTTCCGCAAAAAAGCCCCGGTCGCCATTTTTGCGATCGGGGCTTTTTTGAGGAAAACAAAGCTGAGCTGTCTTCACTGGCCCTTCCGAATGGGAGCAGCATAGTATTTCCGCAAGAACACTGACAATCTTACATGAGATCGTCAGTGCTTTTGCGGAAATTCAAGTGGCCAGTGTAGACAGCTGGCAAGTTTTTCCGGAAAAGTGGCTGATTTTCCAGAAAAACTGGCCAGTCTAGACACGGCCCTGAGGAACAAAGAAAGCAGCACTGGACTAGGGGGGAGATCTTGACTGAAATAGGTTCAGCCACTAAGTATGCTGAAATATGTGGTGACACACAACTTGGCTTGTATTCATTTTGCTTGTTAAATTAGGTAATAGTTGTCTTTTACATTTTATTTCTTTGTAACCAATTCTGACTTTTATGCCTCATTACTTATAATCACTTAAAATCTATGTTGATTTAATTAGTACATTTGTTTTGTTGTTTTATCTAAACCAATGTGTTTGAATTGATATGTTTGGGAAACTCCATCTGGGATAAGATTTGTGCATATTAAGCAAATGGTGGGCTTTATATAAGTTTTTATTGTCCAGGAGGGTGCTAGGTAGTACAAAAGATGCAAATTTCTGGAGGAAAGTCTGGGACTGGGAATTTTCTAGTGCTGCCCGATAATGTAATTCATGAGAGGATAGCTATAGCACTCACATAGTATACCTAGGAGTGATTTATATGCAGGAGGTTGTGTGTGACCAAACTAGTAGTTATTGCTATCTGAGGGTATGTCTACACTACCCCGCTAGTTCGAACTAGCGGGGTAGTGTAGACATACCCATAGAGTCTGGGACTGGGAATTTTCTAGTGCTGCCCGATAATGTAATTCATGAGAGGATAGCTATAGCACTCACATAGTATACCTAGGAGTGATTTATATGCAGGAGGTTGTGTGTGACCAAACTAGTAGTTATTGCTATCTGAGGGTATGTCTACACTACCCCGCTAGTTCGAACTAGCGGGGTAGTGTAGACATACCCATAGTGCTAATGAAGCCCGGGATTTGAATTTCCCGGGCTTCATTAGCATAAGCGGGGAGC